GTGTGTGTGTGTATACACATACATACACATATACATGTATGTATATCCACTCAAAAACTTAAACATGGATATTCATAGCAACATTATTCATAAAAGCCAAAAAGTGGGGTAAAGTGGAAGTCCATCAACTGACAAGTGGGTAAACAAATGTGGTATATCCACACAATGGAATATTATACAGCCATTAAAAGTTGTGACCCACACCACAACACAGATGAACCTTGATAACATTATGTAAAAAAAGCTAGTCACACACAGACATAAAATCCTCACAGATTATATTATTACATTTATATAAAATGTCCAAATTACACAAATTTAGAGACAGAAAGTAGCCCAGGATGGGGACGTGGGGAGAAACTGGAAGTCATTACTAATGTATATAGGGTTCCTTTCCGGAACCTCATTGTTCTAAATAAAGTTCTAAAACTTATTGTGATAGTTGAGCAATTCTGAATATAACAGAACTCACTGTACACTTTAAAGTCATGAATTATATGGCACATGAATTAGATTTCAATAAAAATATTTTTGAAAAAAAGGCTGGGGGTGGTGGCTCACACCTGTAATTCCAGCACTTTGGAATTTTGATGTGGGTGAATCACTTGAGGCCAAGAGTTGGAGAGAAGTCTGGGCAACATAGTGAGATCCCCACCTCTACAACATTTTTTTAAAAAATTAGCTAAGTATGGTTGTGTATGCCCATAGTCCCAGCTACTTGGGAGGCTAAGGAGGGAGGATCACTTGAGCCAAGGAGTTTGAGGTCTTAGTGAGTGGGCCACTAAACTCCAGGTGAAAAAATGAGACTCTGTATCTAAAAAGAAAGAGAGAGAAAAGGGGTTCATAACCCTCCACACGATGACAGTCAACAGAGAAACAAAAGCATATTTTCAGTTAATGTGATTTCTAACCATTAAAACTCCAGGATAAATTATCCAGAAAAGATGCTTCCAGAAGAAACCAGCTTGAGGACAACAAGCTCGAGGACCGAAGCTTTAAGCAAGTCTAGAGCAGGAAAGGAGAGGGACAGGGAAAGAACTCCCCCGCCAAAGAATAAGTACATAGAGAGTTCCACTACCACGGCTCCCTTCACTGGGCTCTTTTTAGAAATGCTTTTCCAACATGGGGATGGATTCATCAGAAGAAGCAATAAAAATATTTTAAAGGCCATGGAAAGTCATATAATATCTCTATGGTTTCAGGTTTTTTAACAGGAAATTTGTATAGGATAGAACTTCATGGACTGTATAAACTCAGCTTAGTGGGAAAAGATTCAGGAGAGACAGCTGAAGAAAGTTGGGAAGAAGTTGGCCCTCCAAGGTATACAGAGCAAGAGAGCCCAGTCATTGTACCAATTCTTCACTTCTCCAAGAATCTGTCTGATTTACAATGGTGTTCTTTTTTTGGTTCTTCTCACTAATGTCACCTTACATCGTGACTCTGGGCTCTGGGACAGAGCAGGGCAGTTCAATTCCTTTCTGTCTCCTGTGGACTAATGTGCAGTGTGGCCCTGGGTACGCCCTCCTGGAGGTGCCCACTGACCTGTGGACCACTGTGCAAGAAGGACAGGAGGAGGAGGATCCTTGCAGATTTGCAGTGCCCAGAGGGCAAACTAACTTTTCAAGAATGCAAATTTATGCCATAATGTAAGACAGAATTAGTACTGGGCAGCAAGCATGGCACTCACCAGAAATCTGTGTATGCTAGCCAGAATTTGGTGCAATCACTCCACAATAAAACAGATTGATTGAGTCATTAACGCAAAGCACCATCCCCCGTGAGGACACAGAGATCTGTCTTTATATTGTAAAATCATAAACCCTAAGAGATTGTTTGTTTAAAATTATGAAAAGTAGGAGAACAGGGGCAGATTTCTACAAAGATAAGAAAGCATACTAAAATTCCTGAGTCCAATAATTAATGAGACAGAACAAACAGCAATAGGCACAAGCAGCAGCCCAGTATTTATCTTTAGCTCCAACATTAGACAACGTTGTTACAAGCACAATTAAAACCAACAACAAGCTGCCAAAACAAATGAAAAACTGCCAGCACTGGAGAGATGTGAGACTCCACCAAGGAACACCAGGCAAGGACAGCCGAGGATAACTAAATCAGGCCTTCGAGGGTTGGGGAATCAGATGGCTATAAAGGCCAGGGGCTGCCATTCCCACACCTTCCATAAACCCAGATTCCAAAATCACTTGCTTGAAATTGCTATCCAAAATTAAATCTCTCTCCCTCTAAGAATAAAGGAAGAATATTATTACAATGGAGTCATACCTGGCACATATAATACTGGCACTTTTAAAAATTACATAGGTATCAAGTAAGTCACAGACGTCTATAACCTCTAACAATCAACTTCTAAAAACAATTACAATTAGAAATATAACTATCTGAAATTTTTCCATTTGTTATTATTCTTTGAGAAAAAAAACTACAATAGTCATTTCAGCAGGGTGCCAAATTTCATCAAAAGCAGACAACCCCTTGAATATTCCATTTGAGTAGGTAAGTAAATGTCAGAGATCCTGTTTAGATTGCACAGAAATCTCTCCTTAGTGACACTGTAATTACAAATGAAAGAGATTATAAAGGATCATGATCCTGCTGATAAAAATTATCAACACAGAGATATGTGAAGAATGATCTAATGTGAAAATATTTGGATGATGGGAGTTTAGATGATTTTACCATGAACTGTATGACTTCTGTGTGATTTTTCCTTCAAAATAAAACTATAAAGCTCAGGACTCAGACTGCCAGATTCAAGCTTCAGCTTCACACCTTATTAGCTGTGTGATCCTGTGCAGTGACCTCACCTGTAGAGGGAATAACAGTCTCTGCCTCACAGTGCTGTCGAGTGGCCTCAGTGCACTAGTTCACTCAGAGGGCACACAACAGTCCGTGGGACATAGCAAGTCATTAGGAAACACCGGCTGGCAGTAGAAGCAGCAGCACTGGTAACACTAAGCCAGCTATTTGTAAAATTGACATATATGCTGATTAAAGGAGGCTGCAAAAACTATTTTATGGCCAGAGGGAGAAAGGGTAGCAAGAAAACCTCTCTGCTTAAGTTTAAATCGTAGTCCAAATGAAAACCAAGCAGATCAACACAAGGACAGACACAGATGTAAAGAAGGAGATTCCTAAGTCTACATTTTTCTTTGAATCTGCCACTTCATTTTAGGAATGTTCTGGCATAGCTGACTAACAGAGCCAAAGAAGTGCCCCAGGCAGTCACTTGTGTGCACAAAAGTCTTTGCTCTCAATTTAGCACCAAAATAGAAGACATTCTAATGAGGTTAGCATTTATAGGCCAGAAGATTCATCCTAATTTTTTTTAAAAAGGTTAAAATGCCTTAATCTATAAATGTGAGAACTTTAGTTTTAAAGGGGGATTTAAATAAAATGAAAATTATATAAATGAACCAACCCTTGATTAGTTAGGAATTATGGATTATCCTGAACCCTGGATTATTCCTCTTAGAAAGGCAGGGAGGGAAGCAAATAACAAAGTCAGTGAGTGCATCCAACAGCATATTAGGAGGTCAGAGCTGTGGAGAATAACCAAGCAGGAAGCCAACGGAGCCAGGCAACAAAAGAAGGTGGTGTCATTTCACATATGTAGGTACACAGGTGACATTTGAGTTTGGATCAGACAAGGGAAGTTCAAGTAATTTTACTCTGTAATCACCAGCTCTGATAAATATTTTGATCAGGCTGAAAGTTCCCATTTGAGACGAGATATTGGTTATCTCTGTGCTCCTCACCATGCCTTTTGATTTTGATAATATGCAGTCTAGTTTTTATGCAAATACCCTGTTATAGACACAGTCTGTGATGGTATTCATCATTTCCCTTTTTAAATCTAAAGGCAAAGAGAGCCTCTAAAATATATAATCCTGTCCGTAAGTATTTTCCACAAATAAAGAGATTAAAAGTAAGAGAGAAGTCATGGCCGTTTCTGGTAACCCATCATCCATTAGCCCACTTTCCAGTGTGAGAGCCCAGATTTTCCGTGGGAAACTATGCCTACCTGACTGTAGCCAGTATGGTCCAGGCGAGGGGAATACCAGCCAACTCCAGGGCTCCCTGTATTACCTGGCCTTACGACTGGGGGCACCAAAGTGCCCTGAAGGCTGTGCAGCCTTTTCAGTTCGGGAGGGGGCCACGCCTCGAGGCCCAGACAGTGAGAATTCACAGGCCTAACAAGTGTTCCCACTGGCAGGAAAAGTGGGTCCTCCCCAAGTGGGGTCGGGGAGGGGATCATTCTTGACACCCCCGGGTAAAGGAGGGAGGTTGGGTCTGCCTAAAAATGAAGCCAAACCAGAGGCAACTATAGTTGTACTACATGGAAAGAAACAGATATATATCCTGACACGCACTGGGGGTCAGGATCGTGGGGTTGGACTCAGCCCTGCTTCACCTCTTTAGACTTCTCACGGAGCTGAAGAGTACATTCCCCTCCACCACCACCCCCTTTTTTTTTTTTTTTTTTTTTTTGAGACAGAGCCTCCAGCTGTCCCCCTGGGTAGAGGGCCGTGGCATTACAGCTCACAGCAACCTCCAACTCCTGGGCTCAAGCGAGTCTCCTGCCTCCGCCTCCCAAGTAGCTGGGACCACAGGCGCCCGCCACAACGCCCGGCTATTTTTTGGTTGCAGCCGTCATTGTTGTTTGGCGGGTCCGGGCTGGGGATTCGAACCCGCCACCTTAGGTGTACGTGGCTGGCGCCTTAGCCGGTTGAGCTATAGGCGCCGAGCCACCCCCTTTTTTTTCTTTGCAGTTTTTGGCCTGGGCTGAGTTTGAACCCACCACCTCCGGCATATGGGGCCAGTGCCCTACTCCTTTGAGCCACTCAAGTACATTCCCTTTTTGCTTAGATCATTTCAAGCTAGATTTCTGTTACTTGCAACCAGCAGTCTTGCCGAATCCAAAGAAATCTTCCGAAACTGGTTTTATTCTCACTAGAGAGCCAACAACAGTGTGTACTCACCCGTTCCTGACCAGCAGTATCCCAGATGAGGAATTTGTGAAGTTCATTTCCACAAGGCACAGTTTTGGTCATAAAAGATGCCCTGAAAAAGAGAGTCAGCATCTCCACGTTACTGCTCAGTGTCTTTACAAAGGTTCCTGAATCAAACAAGTTAATGTCGCACTTAGCAAGACTCTGAAGCTCTTGTTCTCTGGAACCACTAAGAGGAAACAAGCCACTAGTAGAGTCTTGCCACCCAAAAGAAAATATTCTGGATTTTCTTAGTCCAACTGGAAGTTTAGAAACAAAACCAAAAAATGCATTTAGAAGACTGAATCCCAAACCAGTTAGCTTCAATTGTTCTACAATAATACTTTCCAGATCTCAGCAAAGAATATAACCTTGGATTTTAAAAACTTTTACAACAATGAAGAGTGAAAAAGGCAACAGGTATTTTGGCAGGTTATGGTTTTGGCCTTTCAAGCGCACAAAAGGAAAGCTGTCTTACATATTTACCTATGCTGCCATGAATCCAACACTAGTAGCGGCTAACACAATACTACGTCTAAGTCCCAACCTGACTGCACAAATGCAAGGATAAAGACTGTAGTTTAACAAATATTTATGCTTTCTCTATAAGAAGGGAAGATTTTAAAGTCTCTGTAGATCAAAAAACACTTGCTATTTCTTTTTTGTACATTTATTCTCAATAAGCATTTTTTTGTTGTTGTTCTGAAGAAAGGTGTAAAAACACAAGGAATGTTTAATAGTTTTGACTTTTCTTCTGTGAGATAAAGTTTTTATCCACTAAAAAACAGCAAGCATTCCCAATAGTGGGTCAATCTGACATTAAAATCTTCTTGAAGCAAAGGAATAGAAGTAGATATATCACTTATGCAGCATTCAGGCCAAAAATATTTGATCAGAATTTAATCATAAGGAAACAATTAGGCAAATGTGGAACGTGGCACATTCTACAAGATGAACTGGCCCGAATGTTTCATGTAAGTGAATGTTACAAAAAGCAAACAAAAGGCAGGGAGATTTTTCTAGAATCTAGATTGAGAGGAAAGAGCTAAGAAAATCAAATGCAATATATGAGCCTTGGCTGGATCCTGGATTAGGGTCTTTCAAAAAGATTTTAAGGGCACCTGTAGCTCAACAGATAGGGCACTGGCCACATACACAGGGGCTGGCAGGTTGGAACTCAGCCTGGGCCTGCCAAACAATAACACCTACAGGGTGGTGCCTGTGGCTCAAAGGCGTAGGGCGCCAGACCCTTATACTGGAGGTGGCAGGTTCAAACCCAGCCCTGGCCAAAAAAACAAAAAAACAACAAGAACAACTAAAAAATGGGTGGGTGTTGTGGCAGGCACCTGTAATCCCAGCTACTTGGGAGGCTGAGGCAAGAGAATCGCTTAAGCCCAAGAGTTTGAGGTTGCTGTGAGCTGTGAGCACTTTACTGAGGGTGACATAGTGAGACTCTGTCTCAAAAAAAAAAAAAAAGATTGGGCAGCGCCTTTGGCTCAAGGAGTAGGGCACCTTTGGCTCAAGGAGTAGGGCGCCGGCCCCATATGCCGGAGGTGGTGGGTTCAAACCCAGGCCCAGCCAAAAACCGAAAAAAAAAAAAAAAAAAAGATTTTAAGGACAGTTGTAGAAATTTAAAGTTGGACTATATTATGCATGTGAGATATTATTATCAAATCACATTGATTTTCTAGGTCTGATAATAGTATCCTTATTATGAACTTAGAGACGCACATTGAGGTTTTTAGGGGTAAAGAGTTGGGATGTCTTTTCCTTACTTTCATACGGCTCTGCTTGGCCGGTCCAGTCCAGCTCAGGATCCAACCATGCCCACAGCACTCATCACAATAATATTCCCTCAACCTGCAATTTTCTCATGAATAAGAGGCCAGTTACAAAAGTCACAGGGAGGAAAGTGTATGTTCCCTAAATTCCCAATGATCCTTAGGCTAACAGTAAGAGGATTCTTTTTTTTTTTTTTTTTTTTTTTTTGAGACAGAGCCTCAAGCTGTCCCCCTGGACAGAGTGCCGTGGCATCACGCTCACAGCAACCTCCAACTCCTGGGCTCAAGCGAGTCTCCTGCCTCCGCCTCCCAAGTAGCTGGGACCACAGGCGCCCACCACAACGCCCGGCTATTTTTTGGTTGCAGCGATCATTGTTGTTTGGCGGGTCCGGGCTGGGGATTCGAACCCGCCACCTTAGGTGTACGTGGCTGGCGCCTTAGCCGGTTGAGCTATAGGCGCTGAGCCCAGTAAGAGGATTCTAATTATCAACCTACAATTGCCATAAATGGAAATTCTAAGTATTCTTCTAAGTCAGCGGTTCTCAACCTGTGGGTTGCAACCCACAGGATCTGTATTTAAAGGACTGCAGCATTAGGAAGGTTGAGAACCATTGTTGTAAGTGATATGATCCAGTATAGTGAAAACCACATTTATTCCTTTATTTCTTCAAAAGTGCTTAAAATACACAGCCTAGACTGCTAATAGGTGCAAATACATTCCAAAAATGTTAATATCTATATTATTTTCCTATTATAAAGACAATATATACTTCCAAAAAAAGAAATCCAAAAACTGAAAATGAAGGAAATAACAATCAGCCATCTCTCTCATAGCCACAGTCTCTGCTAGTAAGCTGATACATGGCCCTTGCAATTTTCATACAATTCTTTGGGGGGAGGGGTTCATTCTTTCAGCTCTTTTTTCCTTTTATTTTTAGTTGATACACAATAATTATACATATTTATGGAATACAGAATAATATTTCCATACATGTATGCAATGTGTAATAATCAAATCAGAACAATTAGCAAATTTATAACCTCACACACTTACCATCGCTTTTTTGTGTTTGGATCTATTCTAAATGTTCTCTTCTACACAGTGTGGGTGAGGGAAGGGGAGAGCAAAGAGAGAAAGAAGGAGGGAGTGGTGGGGAAAGGAAGAGCAGAGAGAAGGGAGGTGGAGTCTTGGGATGTGCCACACCTTTTGGGGGCAAGACATATGATTGTAAGAGGGACTTTACCTAACAAATGTAATCAGTGTAACCTGGTTTCTTGTACCCTCAATGAGTCCCCAACAATTAAAAAAAAAAAAAAATATATATATATACATATATATATGTTCTCTTCTACGTACTTGACAATATACGATACATAGTAAGTCGTTAACTATAGTCACCCTGGTGTGCTACAGAACACCACAGCTTCCTCCTGTCTAGCTATAATTTTATATCAGTTAACAATCCTCTCCCTACCCCTCTTTCTCCTACCTTTTCCCCAGACTCTAATAACCAGCATTCTACTCTCCTCTCTGTGAGATCAACTTTTTTAGCTTCTGCATAAGAGCGAAAATATGCAGTATTGATCTTTCCGTGTCTGGCTCATTTCACTTAAGATAATGTCCTCCAGGCTCGTCCATGTTGCCACTAATGACTAGACTTCTCAAGACTTCTTTCTTTCTTATGGCTGAACAGTATTCCAGGGTGAATATATACCACATTTTCTTTATCCATTTATTTGCTGGTGGACATTTGGGTTGATTCCATATCTTGGCTATTGTGACAGGAGCTGCAACAGACACGGAGATGCAGGTACTTCTCTGATATACTGATTTCTTTCCCTTTACACAATACCTACTATTGTGTAAATAGTTTGTTTGAGACTGCTGGGTTTTATGGTGGTTCTAATTTTAGTTGTTTTTGGAAACCTCCAACCCATTTTCTATGATGGCTGTACCAATTTATATAGTGCTTATAATAAATAGTAAATAGTTTGTTTGAGACTGCTGGGTTTTATGGTGGTTCTAATTTTAGTTGTTTTTGGAAACCTCCAACCCATTTTCTATGATGGCTGTACCAATTTATATAGTGCTTAAATTTATCAACAGTGTGTAAGAGTTCCTTTTCTCTTCATCCTCGACAGCATTTTTTTGTTTGTTTGTTTTTTTGCAGTTTTTGGCCAGGGCTGGGTTTGAACCCCTCACCTCTGGCATATGGGGCCAAGCCTCTACTCCTTTGAGCCACAGGTGCCGCCCTATTTTTTGTCTTTTTGATGATAGCCATTCTAACTGGGTTGAGATATCTCCTTGTGCTTTTGATTTACATTTCCGTGATGATTAGTGATGTTGAGCACTTTTTAATATGCATGTTGGCCATTTTTATGTCTTCTTTTGAGAAATATTTATTTAGACCATTTGTTTTTTTTCTCTTTGAGACAGTCTTACTTGGTCACCCTGGGTAGAGTGCCATCGCATCATAGCTCACAACAACCTTGAACTCTTGTGCTCAAGTGACCTTCTTGATTCTCCTCAGCCTCCCAACTAGCTGGGACTACAGATGCCCACCACAACACCTGGCTACTTTTTTCTATTTTTAGTGGAGACAGGGTCTTCATTTTGCTCAGGGTAGTTTCAAGTTCCTGAGCTCAAGCACTCCACCCAGTTTAGCCTCCCAAAGTGCTAAGATTATAGATATGAGCAACTGCACCCAGCCCTTTAGTTCATTTTTATTATTTTATTATTATTTTTTTTGAGATAGTCTTACTATGTCACCCTCGGTAGACTGCTATGGCATCACAGCAACCTCAAACTCTTGGGCTTAAGTGATTCTCTTGCCTCAGCCTCCCAAGTAGCTGGGACTACAGGTGCCCACCACAATGCCCAGATATTTTTTTATAGTTGTAGTTGTCATTGTTGTTTGGCAGGCCAGGGCTGGGTTCAAACCTGCCAGCCCCAGTATATGTGGCTGGTGCCCTAGCCGCTGAGCTACAGGCATGAAGCCTCATTTTTAAAATTGATTCTTATTATTTATTTTTGCTGTCAGGTAACTTGAGTTCCTTGTATACTCTGGATATCTGGATATTAGTCCTTTATATATTGATGTTCAGTTTAAAAGTCATGAATAGTAAAGTAGCCTTTTCAAGAGATTTCAAATAATTGTATAAAATATTTTATAACCCAAAGATAACTGCTCATGTCCCAATACCCTGGCACCTCTGATACATATTGCAACATGAGTTTTAACAATACTTTGATTTATAATTGTTCTACAGTATAAAATATCAAACATTAATC